TGTTCTAAGTATAAGAGGAAGCTTCTGGAAGGTTTTTCACTGGGGACATATGGTTTCTGCAGAGCACATTAGCTTCTCATTTCCTTCTGGTTTCTGCTCAGATAACTCAGACCACAGGCCTTCTCTGACCACCCTTATCAAAATGTACCTCCATCACCCCAACCTGACTTGGCCCTTCTGCATCCCCTTACCCTGCCTTCTTTTTCTTCAATGTTCTTAGCACCACCTGATGTCATATATTTGTTTCCTTGATGGCTGACTTTTCCTGCCCACCCAGCTGTGAGCAGGGCCTGGGCTTTTCATAGCCACCTCCTATATGGACAGAATGGTGCGGACACACAGTCAGCTCTAGTGTGCTGAGCAAGTGAATTAATCTGATTTACTTTTCAAATGAATCACTCTGGCTGCTGTGGCAACAATGGATTTGGGGAAGTCAAAAGTCAAATAAAGAAAGCCCCACGAGTTCCAGATGGAAGATAAAAGTAGGAGAAGTGGACAGGTGGGAATTCCACTAGGAACTCTACCCTGGTGTCAGAAAACCAGCATGGCAACACGTTCTTAAATGACTAAACAATTGCTTTCTTCACAAGCCATGAGCACAGTAAAAGAGAGTTTGTTAAAAGCTGATAAATGGAGGAAGTAAGTTACTAAGATGAAATTGATAAGTACATGGAATTTGATAAAAATCTATTAATACTAAAAAATGCACATACCCCTTGACCTAACAATTTCATTGCTAGAAATTTATCCTTTACAAACACTCACAAAAGTATGTTGAAATACAACCAGGGATGTTCCCCTTGTCACTGCTTGTAAGATCCCCAAACTGGAAACAACATAAATACTCATCTATAGAAAACTGATCAGAAAAACTTAAAAAAAAATTTATATATATATATATATCTGTTAAGTAAAATGATGAAAGTGCTTTAAGATATGTTGTGTGTTTAGAAAGATTCTATTTGTGTTAAAACACACACTATAAATTGATATTGATGTGGGTACAATTTGTCATTACAGAGGGAGAGGGAGGAAAGAGATAAATACTGATGTAAGTAGAAAGTTTTATTTTTTTTTAATATTAAAAAAAAAAAAAACCCTTAAGTGGTGGCTAACTTTTGAAGAGAATGGAGTGGTAAGGGGTAGAGAGAGAATTTTACTTTCCTTCATATAAGTTTCTGAATTATTTAATTTTTTTTTGAAACATAAACTTGTGTTTTACTTTTTGAAATTAAAAAAAAAAATCAAACAACATTCCTTTGAGATAACTAGCAGAAAAAACAAGAATGTACTGATATCTCATTACCTGCTTTCTTAATTTATGGACAACAGCTCCAATAATTCATTTATACAGACATTATGGATGAACACATACACATACTACTTACATGTTTGAATACTCTGTCAAATACAGTGGGATAAAACAAATGCCTTTGATTAAAACACAGCAGACAGAGCCCCTATTTCTCAGTGACCTTCAGTGCTAGAGCCAATGTTTAATTTGTGGCCACAGAATTTGAAAACTGTCTTCAGCAATGCTTGATGGATCCTTGCTGTCATTGCTTCACTGACCATTTTTTTGTCCTCAAAAAGAGACACGAACTGTTCCACTGCTTCCTAATGAAGCACCTTTTGGCATATATTAGCTGTGCTGCCATTTAATGTTAATTGACAAGTCTCATTTCATTCCTAAATTCTGTTCCCTCATTAAAGCTCTGATGGCTTCTAAGGAAAAGATGTACACAACTTTTTTTCTATGACAAAATTAATTTGACTTACTTTATGCTCCAGGAGCTTATGCAATAAAACATAAATTACCCAGGGACAGGGAAATACATCCTCACATATTCTTAAGAAAAGTAGTTATGTTGCAGGTATTTTTTCTTAACTATATTATATTCAAATAGCTCTTTCGAAGGCAATTAGTTTTTCTGCCTTCACTTCAATCATCCCCCTCCTTGTGCTATAACTAAATCTCTCTAAACAGTACCATTTTAGAGGGGTGGGCTTTGTTTACATGGTTCACTAAATCAGCTCTAAGCTATTTCTCACTTCAGGAATGTGAAATGTTTACCATATCTACTTTTTTCAGTTGCAAATTATTCCTAAAAGCATGTGTTCTAATCATCACAGAATAGTTTGGTATTTTGCAAGTCAATTCAGGAGAAAAACAGAAAGCCTCCTTAAGTCCAATTTAGGTAAGGTTAAGCTCAGCAGGGCTAAACACACAGACAGAGCCAACCACTCACCCCTCCTGTGTCCAGCATTGTAATGTTAACAACAACCAACAAAAGGACCCAGGGACAGAGGAGGAAGATTACCTGTCCCAACTAAAACTGGGACAGTGGTTCTCTTTTTAAAGACCCACCTGGAGGGACACATACCAGGTTTAAAAGTACTGTATTAGGTCATTCCCCGGTTATTTGCATTTTTTTACCCAACCAACTGGAAACAGAGATAAGTTTTACTACTAGAAAGCACTTTCCTGAAACAAGAACACATTGAACTATACAGCCATGCTAAAGCTGTGATGCTCCCTAAAAGGATGAGTCTTAACCTGATTAAATGATTTCTGACTGTGGAAGGGTAGGTAGGGTGGGCCTAGAGAAGAGGGGCTCACAAGAAACAAAGCCAGAGGCAGGAAGCTGGGATAACAAGAACGAGGATTACAGAGGGTGGTAATACAAGAGACAATCACGCTGAAAGGAGCCCACACCACACAGAGGGGAATGCTGCCGAACAAATGAAGTCCGGACTCACAGGTCTCTGCGAATTTACCAAACTGATGGCCAGCAGGAAAGTAGAGATTGCCAGGTCACTCTCTCGCAAAGAAATCAAGTTTCCAGAAGCTCAAAGCATTAGTGACTTCACTTGGTAATTACCAGTACATCAAAAACAGCATTTTGTAAGGCAGCACCAAGCCCTGTGGAATGCCTCTGAACTAGATAAAACCACTAGACTAGTAATTAAACTAACTTTATATGAGAGAGTTCTCTTGCTCAAACTTGAGCAATCCTGCTCATTTCAGGAAGCAATTTTAGCACAAAAGTGGAAACAAGAAACTTGTGAGCCTCAATTTCAGCCCAGATACCATGGTTGGCAGGCTTCATTCACCTAACTACAAAATCAGGATACCAGCAGCTTCCAAGAAATGTTAAAGGGGATTAAGATTATGAAATCACGTGAAGATGAAAAGCACTAAGTCCCAGTCTTGTATCATTTGCAGGTAGTTTAACAGTCTCAGTTTCAGTATCAGCAAACAAGTTTTTACCATTTTATCCATCTAGGCATTTCAATAGCAGTCATTGCCATAGTACCTAAGTGCTTTTTCACCAGACAACCAGATAAAGACTGCTTGGCATCTTGTCACAATGACATGCTGCTACATCGTGTTATAGACTGCAAGAACCTAAAAATTTAGAAAAGAAGATTTCTCTTCAAATTGATCAATGCTATATACCTCATGACAATACTGCTTATTTCGTACAGATGGGTAATAAATTGGTAAATGAAATAGCTATAGAACATTGTTACACTGTACAAACAGATGGAGCATCTTAAAGTGCTACTTAAAAAAAATCAGCATGTTTATTATTAAACACCACATATGCCTAAATATAAGGCGAGTTTTTTTCCCCTAAAACTAAATACAGAAAAAGAGGGTGTCACATTATATTTGATTCTTACAGTCTCAGGTTGTGGGGTTCTATTCTAATCACTTGACCTTGAGAAGTACAGAGTACCATTTGGGGAAGGCAGATCTCACCTAAAATATTCTCAATTATTACTAATTCTGAAGTTTACCAAGGTCACCTGTGAAACTCAGATTAAAAAGAAAATATGGGGGTGGAATCTCAGAAATGCTGTGAATGTCAAAAAAAGTCATTTAAAGTTCACCCTAAAAAAGCAATGTGGGAAGTTGTTACATTATGAGGAATAGTTATACCCTTTCAGGACAAACAGGTAATAAAAAAAGGAAATCAATTGTCTTAATGTTAATATGTCTATGGGATAAAATTTCTAGAGACAATATTGTTCATGGAGATTAAAAGTGCTTCATCTTGCACAACTTGAGATACAAATGAAGACAACATACTCTACAAAACCATGTTAACAGGTGATCCCCAAAGTGGATTATGTGGTGACCAAGATGCTGATTCAAAATTCGTATGAATAATTTGAATAAAATATTTCCTGATATAGAAAAAAAGCAATATTAATTCTATATATTTCTGTGAAAACAAATGAAACTATTTTAAGTGGACATTTGACTTTCCCCGTACATCACTAAAGGTTTACTTGGTCAGGTTGGCATAAAACATTCTCATTGAAAAATGGTGAACACTTTTTGTTTGATAAACCTTACAGGTGGGCATATATGCAGTTAATTCTAGTATATTCCATTACAACTTTTTGGTAGAGGAGCGTGAATAACAAATTTCAAGAATCCTCTGAAAGTCTGATTTTGCAATCATTCTGAAAAACCATTTTCTAAATGAAAAATCGTTAGGGTTTATAATAATTAAGACAAGGCATACGTACATACAGGAAACATGAACAGGACCAAGATATACAGGATCAGAAAAATAAGTTCTTGGTCTGATATGGGATTCTCCTTACACTAAGCTCAGTGGTATCCCCTGAAAGATGGTGCCCTGTGAGCCTTAAACCTACCCATCATGGAAGGGCAGCACTGCGAATTAGGTTTTGGTATCAATAACAAATCCAAATAAAGCTCCAGCCAGTGCTGCAGCAAAGAACTGCACCGAACAACTCCAGTGGACACCCTTCGCATCACAGTCATCTCAGATTTCTGTATTTATAAGGACAGTTTTTCAGGAAAAGGCAGGAATGGGAACCTCCTTCTAATTGGCACGAAAGTTCAGCTCAATGTCTTCTCCAGGTGTAGAAATGTGAGAACTCTATTTCAAGCTGATAAACAGTTACTAGTTTAGGAGATGAGAAAGTAACCAAACATAAATGAGTGAAAGAAAAGTTACCTTATAGATCCCAAAGAAACCCAGGTCCCGCACGACAGACAGAGCGCTGACTCGAGGACCAGTGGTGATTTCTCCAGCCACTTGCAAACGGATCTTGACAATTTCTAAAGGATTTGTGAAAATCACCTGGGAGCCTCCTGCCTAAACAGAGAAAGAAAAAATTTGGGATCAGAGCAGGAAATGGTAGGCTGGGTCAGAAAGAGATGAATGATTATTCTCAATAAATCTCAGAATATTCTTCCCTCAAGAGGCTGTAGTTTCAGTCCTCATCTGGTCATTTAAAACAATTGGCGATTATGAGTTTGAATCAAAATACAGTTACTGCCTAGGACGCCCGGGAAAGAGGCCCTACCTCCTTCACGTGGAGGTTGAAAGAGGGCAAGGACCAGAGAGACTTCTCTCGGCCTCACCAGAGTCCGCACACTAAAATGACAAAGATTCCTTGAAACACAAACAATTGCCACCACAGGGCTCAAAGCCAAGGGCACAAAGGGAGTAATAAAATAAAAAGCAATTAGTATCTGATTAAAGAGACACAGATCTGCCTTTCAGAATAGGAGGGCAAGGAGGACAAAGATCCTTGAATGATGGATTTCATGATTCTGGCAATGATTCAAAAATTGCCACAGAACATGTAAAGTTAGATGAAAGCTATTTTTTTCTTCTCTTAAAAAATCAGGTCTATCATCAAATATTATTTTATGGAGTTACATATTCTTTTAATGTTATTTATATATTACCTGTGTATAGAATTGCTATTTCATATGAGATAAATGATATGTCAAAGTTGTAAAAATATGCATTAAATCAATTATGGCCCCAACTTTGAACGATGTGTGTTATTTCATTCCAGCAATGGCTGGGTGCCACACCTCCGAGATCATCAGTGAAATCTTTAAAGTGCACTATAAGGGAAATCTTAAGCTAGCTATTTTGAAGCTAAGCCTATATTTATCAAAAGCAATTACATTCTTTCTTACTGTACTTCAACTTGTTATTCCTTGTCACAAGTATACTAAATGTTTATATCATCCAAACTAAGGTTAGCATGCAATGGAGTTCAGAATGTTCATTATATAATGATGTCATCAAAGCCAGACCACAGGCATGGTGCCTACATTTTATAGCTTAGTAGATGCCATCATGGTAACAGATACAATTTGGATCAACATCATACAAAATTACATCTTAGTAGATTGTCTGATCCCAGTAACCATCATATACACTCTGACAAAACAGCCTGTACTAATTAAAACTAGTTACAAGGATAGTCTTTGAAGTATTATTGATAATGGCTGGAAATAAAAATTATAAACAGCAGAAATGTCCAATGGTAAGGGATGAATTAAATGAACTTGAGTATGTCCATGCGTTGAGATACTACATAGCCAATAAAAATTTTGTAGAAAACTCTTCAATATATACTGTTAAGTAGAAACTCTCATACATTTAAAATGCGTGTACATCATCCCTACCACCATGTAGAAGAGATATACCAAAGTGGTGCTTTTGAGGTGGTAGGATTATGGATTTTTTTCCATTTTTTTTTTCTCCTATCTGGCTCATGCCTTAACTTAATAAAGAAAAATAAATCCTTCTGTATAACTTATCTAATGATACACATAACAATGTTGACAAAATTTTTTTTTAAGAAATGTTCATCCATTAACTCTCTAAATCAAATTATTTTTCCATTTTTACCAACTCGATGCCTTTATCAAGACACATTTATGTTTAAAATCAAACAAGGATTTTCCTTCTCTCCACTCATTAGAACTGTTTAGAGGGCACTAGTGTTCTCCTGTGTTTTACTGCCACAGACTTCCTCTCCTTGTTTGTTTCTACCATGTTTTGCCCAGCACCTTCATCTCTTCTAGATGACTCTAAGGAGGTGGGCCAAACAATTTTGGTAGAAAAAACCTGGGTTGGATTCATTGAAAGATCCAAGAAAAGGCCTTATAAAGTAGGAAGCAGAGTGTGAGATGACAAACACAGAGGATGGAGTGTCCTTCTGGTGCATACGAGGACGTCCTGTTCCCTGCTCTACTACTTTGCTCACACACTGCTGCAACCTCCAGGGACATGGAAAGAACCACCCCTTGCACCTACATTTTTCATGGGACATGGAAGAAGTTGTTTCAGGTTGGCAGAAAGAAGAGATGAAATGGACCCAGCCTACTAATTGTGCTAAGAACACAGGAAGGGTTCTCTTCTGGACCAGAGCTCTCTTCATATGAAAATAAAAATGTTACGAACAGAGTTACAAAAATGAATAAAAATTTAAAATGTAAAGACTGTTTTATGGGGGCAGAATGGCTGAGAAAGATTCACTTGGTCAGAATTAGTCTGAGGGCTGAGTTTTCAAAGCTCAAGAGAGGGTAAGACCATCTTTACCAAAGGTAAAATGGAAAGTAATTAGAGATTGTTCTTCAATCTTCTTGAAGAACAAAAGAGGAACACAACTTACACTCATCCAAGCACTGCCAACAGTGGGTAAGGAGGCAGTTGTGTATTCCATGGGAAGACTGAGCCTCAGTCCCACTACATGTCAAACCATCTCATTTGCTATGAAGAGCAGAGGGATGGCGAATGTATAGCAGCCAGCACAGTGCTCAAGACAGAGCAATTTCTCCAAACATTTTGGTTTCTTTCCCACCTTCTCCTAAGTTGGTGGCTCTCCTCCCAGGTTGCATGATACAATCACTTGCAGAGCTTTAAAAAAGTAGTGACTTCTGGACCCCACCACAGATAATTAAATAAGAATTTCTGCATCTTCCTGTTAAAAATTTTCCTATGTGATTATTATGTGCAGTGAGGGTGGAGAATCATTTCACTGTATCATCTCTAGGATCCCTGTCTATGCTGAGAGTCAGTTTAATAGGTTTTGTTTAAGCTATAATTTCTAATCCCAGTCTTCTGTATTATTTCAGAGTAACTTTTATATGTTTTATGTCTGATCTCACAGTAATATTTTTCTGCATGTTCAAGTGGTGCCATTATTAAAGAGTATAATTCTTAAGTAAAGAATTGCTGTTTTATCATCTTATATCTTTACTAATACCTGTAAAAGTTAATATTATAGACAATGAAATAAGAACTTACACACAACTCTCTGATTCCAAGCCAATTGACAGATACCAATTCTTTTAAAACAAAAAATGAGTTCTCATCACTAAGGATGATACAAGAGTCAAATCCACTTCAGAGAGCTGCAGGAAACAGATGCATCAGGAAGAGAGATCATAGTGACACCAGGAAAACAAATGATCCACCTGTTACCTCTGGTGGACTCAGAAAGAAAGAACCTACAGACTCAAAGTGGCACACTGTAAACGTGCCAGAGATGAAACAGGTCCTTTGGAGTCAAGCTGGAAGGAAATGAGAGACTGAAAGGCACCAAGAGAAGATGCTTATCATCAGCTGCACGGTGTCTGGGCACCACCCTGACTTGATCGCTGAGCAGCATACTGCCTGCTGCTCTCCTGACTCCTGGTCTATTATCCATTCACAGTACCTTGCCCATGTTCCTCTTTTGCAGAGATCAAAGACAGCCGAATCAGCAGACAATGGACAGGAACACTTATTGTGCACAATGTCTCTGTGTCCCTCATCACTTGAGAGCTCTGGCTGTGTGAAGATACTGGCTTTTTTTGTGTGTGCAATTTTGTCACTAATCATTTCCTATAAGTTGACTTTCTGGAGTTTGTGGCAAGCAGGACAGGGAAAGATTTTCTAAACTGAACTGGCTGAGTGTGACACATTTACACTGGGGATACTGACTCTCCACCTGTTTCTTGGTATGGTCTTTGTTACTGATATCTGTTACTTTCTGATATCTGGATCAACTATGAAAGAAACGCATATGCCTATTACATAGTCACTTCTGCTACTTGATCATTCATTATTTATTCAACAAATATTTATAAGTACTCACGTTCAAAGTTTGTCCTAGGAACTGCAAGGACACAAGATGAGTGAGAAAGCATTCTATTCTCAAGGAGTATGAAGTAAGGGTAGAGGTAATGAATATTCATTAAGCATCCATTACAGCTATTAGGTTATTGATTTGCACATATGTCTTCAGTCCATTCAAGAAGTGCTTTTTCCAGATTTTACAGAAGAGGAAATTGAGGCACAGAAAGATGAAAGCAACTATTATAAGCTGATCTGTGTTCCACCAAAAGTCATAGTTGAAATCCTAGCCTCCAGTGCCTCAGAATGTGACTCTATTTGGAGATATGTAATTTAAAAAGGAAATGAAGTTAAAACAGTCTTCAGGGTGGGTCTTAATCCAATCTAACGGGGTTCTTATAAGAAGAGGAAATTGAGACACAGACATGTAAGGGCACAGAGAAAAGACCATGTGAGGACATAGAAAAGGCAGCCATCTGCAAGACAGAGAGGCCCCAGAAGAAATCAACCTTGCCAACACCTTGAACTTGGACTTCTGGCTCTCAGAAATGTGAGAAAATAAAATTTCTGTTGTTTAAGCCATCCAGTTTGTGGTATTTTGTTTTGGGAACCCTAGCAAACTAATACAGCAACTTATCCAGCAAGCAGAGGATATAATTTTCTATGGAGTTCAACAACTATATGCCACAGGAATACAGAAAATGGCACACGAGAAAAAATGTAACATATGGTAAGAACTAAAGTCAGACAAATTAGTAAGATTGTCAAAGGAGGGCAAGATTTTTCTTGGCTGGGATGTTCTGGGAGGTGAAGATAACATGTTAGCTGGTGACTGAAGTGTGATTAGGATTTAGATAGTCCAGGCAGAAAATGGCACAAAGGCACAGTGACAAGAGCGTGCCAGACGTATATGGTAACAGATCCAGCATTGTGTCTGTCAAGCAAAATTTTAATAAGGATAATTGTATGATTTCAACATCATCATCCACTAGCATTTATTGAGTGCTTACCATGTACCAGACATTGTGCTAAGAGTTTTTTATAAAAAAAAAATTATTTCTGGTCTTCTTAATAAGAAGGTAGATAATATCATCATCCAGGTTTTAAAAGTGAACAAACTGAGGCTAAAAGGAATGAAGGAGGTTAATGAACTTGCTTGAGATCACACAGCTAGGGAGGTGGATCTTGGATTCAAAGCCAGACCTGCTGGATGTCAGGGCCTGAGGCCT